CCTTAAACCTACCCATACCAACAAACCTGTCCCTAACCTTACCCATATCCCACCTCAATAGCAGCAAAAGTGTTTTGCAATACAATATGAACACAATAAGTACATTGTACTTAATTTTTGATGTAAGTACATAGTAGTTAAGGCCACTTAATATAAAGTGGGGCCATTATTAGTTAATATTTTTATGTTATTTAACTTTTATCTGTCTACAAAATATATGCTACAATGTCACACATTTATCTATTTGTTGATTTACTCTGCATACCACTAGAACATAACTGACATAAATGTTTAGTATATACATGTCCAATCAACTGTAAATGTTGTTAATAATGACCATACTAAATAACAGTATAATTCATATTTTTTCATAAACCAGCTAAGAACAGACTGTTCATCAGGCTGGTATTTAGGTCTTTATCTTGTGAGTACTATAACCTTAGGACTACAAATTTAGATTTTTAAGGTATCTCTTTTTGAAAACAATCTGCAACTGAACAACATCTAAAGGTACCTTTCCCACCTTTACTCCATAACAGAGGTTCATTGCAGATGTTGTTCAGTTGCAGATTGTTTTTAAAAAGAGATGTCTTAAACATTTAAATTTGTAGTCCTTGCTTTATTTTAAAGTCATGATAAAAATATGCATAGTTTTGTGCTGCTTAACATTTTTATTTAGAAATAACAGATGTGATATACAATCACAAATGGCTATAAATATATAGCCAATTAAATGAAAAGAAATATGATTAAAAATAAATGCATAGCTACATCAAGCATATATATATATATATATAGTTTTTTTCACATTCCATATCTGCAATACCATAATACAACTTGAACAAGTAAACTTTCTTCACACAACATTTAACATGAAAGGTGTGTTCAAAGTTGTATATGGAAACTGAAAACTATGTAAGAGTTTGGATAAATTTAAAACTCCCAAATCACTACATGTATTGTGTAGTAGACAGACAGATGAGATGAGATAGACAGATAAAGGAAAATTCATCTTAACACAGTGATGTATGATTGTCTCAGAATACATTTTAGTGCAAATTTACTGATGAATCGAGATTTCTGTATAATGTGTATACACAGATTTTACAGAAATTTGGTGTATGCATGGTTAATGAATGAGGATAACTGTTTGGCAAGTAGTAGCAAACCTGTAAACTGGTCAAAAAAAAAAAAAGCAATTCAATGATAAATAATAATATTAAAAATAAATGCATAGCTACATGAAGCTTATATTTGAGCTGTTGTTATATTAACATTTTAAAATATAAAAAATTATATGAAATAACCGCTGTCTTCAAGGATTAGGATAAAAGCCATTAATTGCGTTTGAGCACCTTTGAGCTATAGTATGTGAATGCCCTTGAACTTGTCAAATTGTTAAAAAAAAAATTAACAGAATTGGAACAGACCTGAGACTGATAATATACAGCATGATTAAAAAAAATGCTTATTAGGTCATGCAGTGCCACTTAAAATATATACTGTAGACCTCAATCCATATTTCTATCCCTTCTTTTGGTAACATACAGCATAGAACATGTGAATGTCAGAGGTTAGGTCAACAGGGTGAGAGAGAAGCTTGTACTTCATATCGTGGTTTTCCTCCCAAAGGTAGGTCATGCCGTTCTCTGTGGCAGGAGAGCTGCAGTGATCCAGGGACACATGAAGCCAAGGGTCTTTGATGACCTTTTCCGATTTCACGTTGACCTGCCACACAACTTTCAACACCACATGACGCCGATCATTTTCAAGTGCCAAACTCTCCACTTTGCCAAAGATCACTAGAAACACACACACACACACACACACACACACACACACACACACACACACAAGATAATTTGGTCAAAGTACAAAAAAAAAGTTTGGTATTTTAGGTTGCACCACATTAAAAGTTCAAGAACATCACCTGTTTTATTGCACATTTCAGGGATTAAGTCCATTAGTGGTTTAAGCTTGTATTCTGCAGGAGAGCTGTTAGGCTTTGGTGTTGGTTTGAGATGTTCAGCACAGCAGCTCCACAGGGGCGTGTTGTAGTAGTAATGCCCACAGCAATGGTGGTTTGGTTTGGTGTCATAAATTATGGCATTGGTTGAGGAAGAACAGCAAGTTTGTGTCTTATATTCCAGCAGATGGTTTCCACAGCACTCTGCTTCCCCACTTAAACGTGTTAGGTTGTAGAGATGACCTGAGCAGCATCTCAACAACTGGTTGTGGTGGTCATAGACTTCTGAACCACAACAGAAATTGCCATTCATCTTGTTGTGGCTAAATAGAAAAAAGTTTGAAAGAAAAGTCATTCAAGTGGTTTTAAAATTGTTTTATGGGTTTATGGGGTGGCCTGGATGATTGAGAAACTGTTCTAGAGCTGTGCCATGTGAATAAGTCTTCTGTGAGAAATGTAGTGCCAGTAAAGCATGTTCCTATGGTGTCTCTGCATGTATCAGTTAGACTTGAATTTCCAGTTACAGCCAAAGCCTTGTTTGTCAAGACAGCATGGGTAGAGACATACATAAAATCAGGCTATTTGGTCACTGACCTGAGACATATTTAAGCAGGAACATGCAGAGAAAGACACTGTATAAAAGTTTTTCCTGTAAAGTAATTATCCATACTTTCAACAAATATATTTTCTACATAAGGCAGGTCACCCCCTCATGGTGGATGTGTTTTTAAAATCAAGGGTCAAGGTTTGGATGGTTAGAATGACCTCCTTATACCTCCTTATCAATCATCTGGATCTATGTCATTTTCCCCATTTAAGGTTATTCAAAAGTAGCTGTGCATTGTGATTAAATCGATTTAGTACTGTAGATAGCCCATGAGGATGTCAAGTGCACGGCCTGGCCAATACTACTAACTTTTGGTTAAAAAAAAAAGTGATGTGACATGTAGCCAAGTATGCAGGGCCGGATTAAGCACACATAAACTGTGTTTCCACTGTCGGGCCAAAAGTGAGCGTGTTAGTGTGTGTCAGGGCCAGTCGCGTTTCCACTGTCATTTCTGGGGCTTGATCGTGCCTCGTCTGGGCTTCCTCGGGGCCAATGGCCAGGGATTTTCGGCCCGCCAAATACCTTGGGCCAAAGCGAGCCAAGTGGGGCTAGAGGAGTGGTCATGAACAAAGGCAGAGTTTTTCCGGCTTAGAGACGGTCGGCACCGCTGTTCATTTCCCATGTTTTCATATCAAGCAATCAACTAGCATCAACATTTAAGACATTTAAAACAATTTTAATGGCAAAACTCACTTTCAGACACCAGCGACTTTCCGAATTAACTTACGATTGCGACCTGATCGGAATTCTACAGAAATGTATTATACGCGATGCTAAAGGCTGCATGCTAGCAATCGCTATAATAAGAACACGTTATGATAAAGAAAATTCCAGAGACCGCTTGAAGAATTTAGACAAATCATATATGATTATAATCATGTATTTGGTTTAATATTTCTGCCTCTTCCATGTGTCTTTGTTTATACCCGACTTCTACATCTGCTTATGTCATAAATTTCATATACTCTGTGTAACTCCGATTTTCTTCTGTGAGCTCCCTCTGTTGCTTTGGCTGAAAGGATAACAGTACAGTGAGACGGGATGGTGGTCAAACCTCCTCAGATTACATGCATTGTGGAAAATGATTATAAATGCTCATTCTTTCTAAATAAATTTGACTGAAACATACGAGGGTCTATCAGTATTTTTCTGTAGTGTTATATGTGTACGCATTTGGACTTAAAAGCCCTAATAGAGTTGTTTTGTGCATTCCTGTCGCCACAGATAAACGGAGCTGCTGCGACTGAACAATATGTGTTCTCTTTTAAAGTGAAATAATGATAAATAGTTTGATTAAGCATGCTCACACAAAATAATAATTTACTATTTTTATCGTAAATCATATAAAATATCGATGCTGAAGTTTTAAAGGTGGGGTAAGCGATTTCTGGTAGCCAATGTTGACATTTGAAATCACCAAAACAAACACGCCCCTACCCCAAAAGGGTTTCGCCCCTATTTTGATAGCTCCGCCCCACACATACGTACACAACCCAGGCAACGATTAGTTCTGTGAAACAAAGCAAAACCAATGTTACACCGTGTCTACACCGGACGCAAGTGGCGCGGTATGACAAAATACTATGGAACTCATTATAATCAGTGATGCTGTCTACACCATAGATATATATACACATCTATGGTCTACACTGGATGCGGCGCGGCACGACACAACAAATCCCTGACAGGAAACTGCTGCTGCGTTCTATTTATGACGTATTGACACAAATTCCAAATGATTTTCAACGGTCGCTTTGTCACGTTCAGTGTACTAGACAGACTTTAGCTGTTGCGGCGCAGACACGGTGTTACTCACCTATCGAGAAGAAACAAAGCAACCTCGGCGTCTTATCGCAGGCCTTCTGCTCCTTGAGTTCTCTCTAGCGCTGGAAAGCTGATCCGATATTTACACGGGTCCTACTTCTTGCCTTAAGCCTTCTTTTGTTCCGCAGACGTTTTCCTCTTTTGTTTTTTATCCACCATCTCTATCTTTCTGTCGCTCTGCTCGGCTAATGTCCGTCCTGTGCACTGAACTCTCTCTCCTCCATGTCATGAGTAGACACGCCCCTTACTTCTGATTGGCTACAAGTTTGTTTTGCTAGTCGGCCCAAATCAGTTTTCTAAAGCATTTTTGAAAAATCACTTACCCCACCTTTAAGTCTTTATGTAAGGACCAAATGTCTGTTTCTGTTAAGTTCGTTTTACGATATAGCTTTCATTAATTTCCCCCTTTCTGGTGAAATGCTGGTGTTGTGTGACATTTGCTTTAGAGAGGCATCTTAAGGGCAGGCTCTACGGTAGCGTAGAAATGTAATTCAGCAGTGAAACACAAATACAACCATTTAAAAAGATTAAAGGCTTTAATTAAAAAATTACCAAATACTTTAATATTAATATATATATTAGCAATGAACAAATGCACTACAATATAAACATTAACACACTTTTTAAAGCACAAAATAAGTAAATTATGTTTACAGTATATTATTTAAAAAACAACAACAACAACATTATGTAGCAAACAGGGATGCCATATTTCAGGTCAGTTCAGTTCTTATCCAATGGTGTCAGTGCAGTCAAGTCAATAATATTGCTTTATATTAGGTGTCTTCAACTAAGCAAGACAAAAGGCAACAGTAGCAAAGAACCCAAACCACATCAAAACCAGGCTCAGTCAGGAAACCAGTTCTCCTCTGGCCAAACAAATGAACGTGGTGTGATTATTCAGGGCTGCATCACAAATCAGATTGTGGATTGATATCATTCAGAATATTTCATCCAACTTCTTCTGCTTGAAGAAACATCATGCCAGCAGGTGAAGCTGGTAAAAAGGGTCTGTGCAGAGGGCTTGTCTGGTTCTTGTAGTCTTTGTTGAGGACCTGTGCTGGGGCCATCAATGAGGTCTTCACAGGGATCTGTCATCTAGTTGACATGTTCTCCGCTGACATTCAGGGATGTGTTGTGGTCGTTCTTGGGTGCAGGTCCACCTTCTGGTTTGGATACCGACTGGATCAGCTGATTACTGTAACCTAGGGTTAAGGGGGAGACAGTATATAAGCGACTAATATATGCATTGATGTCATTCTTCTTACAAATTAAAAGTATGTTAGATATTATGGGAAGTGTTGCCAGTTCTGCTTACCCTAATTGTTGCAGCATAAAAATTCCTTTAGGGGATTTGAATTATAGAAATGTGATCGTGTGTCATGTGCATGCAGGGTTAAAGAGATGGGACTTTTAAACTCACAGTGTGCCTGCCTCCTGAAAAACGGTATGATCTGCCAGTTGGTGTCACCTCTTCATGGTCCTCTTGACCTCCATTTCAGCAGCATTAGCCTGAAGGTTTTTCCAAATTGCAGCCTTGAAATATAGGAATATACTGTATGTATAAATATATATTGTAAGGTCATTGTTAAATCTTAAGCATTAGGATTAGGACCAGACCCAGAATTCGCACCTTATATGTTTGATTAATGTTCATGCACGAGTTCATGCAGCAGTTCAGAATTTCTTTAAAAAAAAAAAAAAAAAAAATGATGTCAAGATTATAAAGTGCGTTCAGATTAAACTTTTAAATTTGTTTGCTCATAATAATCCAATCCCCACAGTAGTAAAATATGTTAAGTATGATTTTAATCACATTATACGGCATATATGCTTTAAAAGTTTTCGTTCACTCTAAAAATGCTCTAGTGCAGTCGACAGATTAGGCCTCCATTCAAGAACAAAATAAGATGCACTTACATTTTACGGCTTTCTCTTAGGTATCTATAGTGCTTTTCCGTTTCAGAGCTCCCCCACACGCAGTGTTACCACAAAATAAATATTATTATTAAATTCAGATTGCATATATTGAATTGTCTTATCGGGTGTAACGCTACAACAGCGTGCTCAGTGTAGTTTGATTTACAAACAAATGACTCTTTTTAAAGGTTAAGTGAATTAAATCAGACAGAGCCACCAGTATAGATATTTTAGGCACCACCAGCGCAGTCCGATATGATTCAATAGCAATCACTCGTTAAAAAAGACGAATCGAATGACTGAATTTTTAGCAAACTGGAATATAACTCAATATAATTTCATTAGTTGACATTATAGTGCACTGGATACAGCTCAACAGTTTTTTTTCTATTAAAAAATTACATAAAAGTTTCTTCTAATCTCTAAAGAGGCCGTACTTACCAACACTCCATCTCCGAACCGAATGGTTTTTCTGACGTTATGTTATCATCGCAAACCTTCTAACAGAAACATCTAAAAGCTATAACGTTACTCTTCGTGACATTTAAAACATCAAACAACACTAGATTGTACATCAAATATATTTAATGAATTACCTTTTGCAGCTGAAGTATTCCTCTTGAAAACTGTGCCTGCCGAAACCTCCTTAGGATTTAACCGCCAAATCTTTCTCTCAGGCGGCTGATTTCCTTCATTCTAGCAGCGGCCCGTCTGTGATAAAACGAACTCGGGCCGAAGGTACACACAACTACACCGAGTGTGGACCTGCCGCAAGTACAACTGCTTTCAGCCGAGATCAGCCCATAGAGAAAAAGCCGTCTGTCAGCCAGAAGTGTTTTGTAGAGTCGGCACGGCTCTGGCCCATTATCTTCTCGCCGATGCCGAGACTGAGCCGACAGTGCCGCATTTCAGCCGGAATCGGCCCGAGTGTGCTTGCTATCTGGGGACATTTCATGAAAATCTGACTTTTCCAGGTTTTAAGTGCGATAATCAGGTCCCCAGTGCATCTATCAACCAAGGAAACGTGAAAAAGATTAACCCCATAACTTTGTTTTGGTAAGCCTTTTTCTGCAAGCCTCTGAAAAAACCAGCGCATCAGATTTTGCTCCCTTGGTGACGTGGCAAAGGGATCTCATTATAATATTACCGCCCCTTAATCTGTAAATTTACACCCACGACGCCGTCATTTTGATTTCGCAAGAGACAACGGTGTACCAGTTCTAATTCCATGGCGAAAGTTTGAGCAAAACACGCTAACTGGCTGCACAGACGAGCACAGAACACTGTTTAGAGTCCCAGCCTCAGAGGAGACAAGAGAGCAGTGGATTTATTGATTTATTTACTGCTGCTGCCACACAGATCTAAAATAAACATGCAATTTATTTCCCAGAAGTTTACGTTCACAGACATAACCGACTGTTTTTGTAACTTTGTGTGTGTTTTTAACGTAAACTTGTGTGTGAATAAGAACTTAGTTTAAGTATAAGTGTAGCACAGACATATTTTCACTCGCCGGACACTCTCTAACTGAACGCTTCAGAGTTTCACTCTCCGTCAAGCGATCTGTGCTGTTTTACAGTTCATCTCAGTGGATTAGTGATGTCCGGTTCGCGAACGAATTGTTCGATTTAACCGGTTCTTCTTAGTGAACCGGTTGAACCAGTTCACCAAATCGGACTGAATCATTTGAAACGGTTCGTGTCTCCAGTAAGCATTAATCCACAAATGACATAAGTTATTCACTTTTTTAACGTGGCTGACACTCCCTCTGAGTCGAAATAAACCAATATCCCGGAGTAATTCATTTACTCAAACAATACACTGACTGAACTGCTGTGAAGAGAGAACTGAAGATGAACACGAGCAGAGCAGCATGTGTGCAGAGCCGGATAACGAACGTACACGCCCACTGCTGGAGCGGTTCTCGTTCTCGAGTCAAGAACCGGTTGCATCGGTTTTCGGATCACCGGTACACTGAACCGAGAACCGTTTCTTTCGGACACGTCCGATTTGAGAACCGATGAGCTGATTCTCGTTCTCGAGTCAAGAACCGGTTGCATCGGTTTTCGGATCACCAGTACACTGAACCGAGAACCGTTTCTTTCGGACGCGTCCGATTTGAGAACCGATGAGCTGATTCTCGTTCACGAGTCAAGAACCGGTTGCATCGGTTTTCTGATCACCAATACACTGAACCGAGAACCATTTCTTTCGGACACGTCCGATTTGAGAACCGATGAGCTGATGATACTGCGCATGCA